CATATTCGGTATTGCTTTATTCTGTGTCCTTAATTAGGTGAATTTGGAGAAGACTATTAAGTGACCATTTCTGAAAGAAAGAAGAGAGTCATTTGCTGGATGTCATTCCAGCTTCCACGTTCCCCATAGATCTGTTTATGCAACTTATGCATGAACAGGCTGCTGCTTACCTGCCATGATAAGGAATCGCAGCTCCTCACCCCTGGTCTCTCCAGCACAAAGGAGGGATAAACAGGACAAGTGGGTCGACACCAACTTAGCCTCACTTGGATTAGGATGATCAAGTCTAGAAGACCAGACAATAAGGTACTCTGAGTCGAGTGGTTCAGCTCATCTGGCCTTTTTCATGGTACAGAGGCCTCTGTCGGCACCTCCGGGAAAGGTTACAGAAAAAAATCACAACACTAAACATACTTGGTTTCTTTGCCAGTGAAAGGAATGATAGAATCCTGTTGGGCCCACAGAGGTATCACAGACAGGTCCCTCATGCTTTAGCCCCCTTTCTCTCTTTTTTTTATTCGGCCTGTACGGCACAGCACATGGGGTCCCAGTTCCCCAACCAGGGATGAGATGGAACCCATGGCCCCTGCGTTAGAAGCTTGGCATCTTCACCACTGGGCCACCAGGGAAGTCCTGCCTCAGCCTCTCTTGCACCAGTATACAGCAGGGACACATCAGTAGGTTCTCAATTCTCTTGGCTTCTCAGTACCACACAGAATTAATTATCTTCAGTTTAACAGATCTTGAGATCAATCCAACCTAAGAATTGAATGTGAAAGTCGCTCAGTCCAACCTAAGCTATCCAACCTAATCAATCCAACCTAAGAACTGAATGTGAAAGTTGCTCAGTCGTGCCCGATTCTTTGCAACCCCATGGACTATACAGTCCATGGAATTCTCCAGGCCAGAATACTGGAATAGCTAGCCTTTCCCTTCTCCAGGGTATCTTCCCAACCCAGGGATCAAACCCAGATCTCTCACATTGCAGGTGGATTCTTTACCAGCTGAGCCACAAGGGAAGCCCACAGACCATAACAAATGTGTTCTTGCAATTTCATCATTGTCCCTGGAGTNTCCAGGGTATCTTCCCAACCCAGGGATCAAACCCAGATCTCTCACATTGCAGGTGGATTCTTTACCAGCTGAGCCACAAGGGAAGCCCACAGACCATAACAAATGTGTTCTTGCAATTTCATCATTGTCCCTGGAGTATGAAATTGCAAGAACACATTTCTCATGGGTTCTATGAACAACTAAACGGGGCAAACATGAGCAAGAAATTCTACAATAAAGAGGAAAGGGATGCTATATGCTATGTGGTTGTTAGGCTCTATGTGGTATTCTGTGAATGCAGCTTTCTGGGATGTCATATACTGGTATGATTATAACCTCAACCTGGAGCTATTGTCTTTCATTCAAAGAATGGACAAATATTAATAATGTGAGACCAAAGAGAAAATTTGAGCAGATGAAGCAATAGCAACAATCACTATGTAACACACACAGAGCATGAAGCAAATTTCCTTCTGTGCCTTTAAAAGCAGTTTCTGTCATCTTCTGATGGTCCACTGTAGGAGAGATGTGCGTGAAGCAGACAGAAGCCTGCCAGTGATACCCTCAGTGATTGGCAAGAACAGCCAGGTAAGGATTAGAAAAGGAAGCTACATGACTCCATGTTGCTTCTTTTTTCTCCCCCTTTCTCCTCTGTCTGTCCTACGCTATGGTCATTTGGGAATCTATCTCTCACAAACAGTCCTGAAACAACAAGGATGTGCTGCTTTAGTGGACAAAAGGGGCAGATGCCTGGGTCCTTAATCTTACAAGTCAAAAGTCATCATGCTATCAGAACAAAGCACAGGAATCAATGGCAACTTCTCTCCACAATAATAGTAATTCAAGATGATCCTGTTAACCTCCAGACTCTACAGGAGACACACATGTACCCACACCACATATGCACAAACACACAAACATACACACTCATGCTCACACACCACATTAAGGCATTAAAAGGACATGGCTCCAGTAAACCAAGTTTCTCTGCTATTCAAGGAATCTCCATCAAAGAGTGGCTGCATTATACTGCATTGTCTCTATTTTATAGATTTTTATGGTTTGCTTTAAGGGAAATTAATTTATTAATTTATTTTCAGTTAATTCATTTTAATTAATTAATTAAATGTTCTGTAAGTGGTATGGTCACTGAGTGGTTCAAACCTCAAAATATGCTAAAATGTACACATGAAAGGGTTTCCCTGGTGGCTCAGATGGTAAAGACTCCACCTGCAATGCAGGAGACCCAGGTTCAATCCCTGAGTCAGGAAGATCCCTGGAGAAGGGAATGGCAACCCACTCCAGTATTCTTGCCTGGAGAACCCCTTGGACAGAGGAGCCTGGAGGGCTACAATCCATGGGGTTGCAAAGAGTCAGACACGACTAAGTGACTAACACACACACACATGAAACCTTCCCTCCCCTGTGTCTTATTCATGCAATTCCCCTACCTCCAGCAAGTAATTACTCTTACTGGTGTTTTGTTTATTCTTCTAGAGACTTTTAATGAACATACTAGTCAACCACTTACTACTACTTATTTATTACCTATTTACATGTTATTTCTAGAAGTGGGATGAAAATATTTGGAACCACAATGAGAATGAGTTTGAGGTGTGTCCTAATCACTCCAGTCCCCCCCCCCCACCACCACCACCTCCCAGTTCTCTCAGTTTTTAACCTTATAGCTTTTACTCCATTCCTCCCGGGATGCTTCTCTTTTTTATATTTATTTTTTAAAATTTTTATTATTTATTTTTGACTGCTCTGAGTCTTCGTTGCTGCACATGGGCTTTCTCCAGTTGCAATGCGTGGACTTCTCATTACAGTGGCTTCTCTTGCTGGGGGGTGTGGGCTCCGCGGTGTGCGGGCTCAGTAGCTGCGTTGTGTGGGCTTCGCTGCTTCCCACACTGAGGTTGGAACCCATGTCCCCTGTACCAGCAAGTGATTTCTAACCACTGGACCACCAAGGAAGTCCTCCCCGGATGTTTCTTTCCTTATCAATGGGGAACCTGGACTCTTTAAATTTCATTTTTGTTCTCAAACTTGAACCTGAGTCCAGAAGGCATTCAAGTTAAATTCACCCAAGAGTGCCTTTGCTTTGTTTGACATCTTTATGTGTCTGTAACCATAATGTTTCCTACATATCCCTATGGCCAGGACTTTATTTAGTCAAAGTTAAGGATGAAACCAGTAACAGAAAGGTTCAGACTGTTCCCTACGACTGACATTACCTCTCTACAATCTCCCTTTTCATTCTTTCTACTCTTTGGGGTTTATTCATTCACATGATGGATACGTACTAAGTACCTATGTTGTACTAGACTCAGGACTAGTGTTAGAGTCCAAAGAGGAACAAGATAGACATCTCTGCCTACTCTCAACGGTGCTCACAGTAGAATGAAAGACAGAGAGAGGTAAATAGATGGTCACAATCCAGAGTGACACAGGAGGGACGTGAACCTGAGTTTTTTGTGTGAGGGTAAGGAGGGAAGATTCCCTGGTGACTCAATCAGTAAAGAATCTGCCTGCAATGCAGGAGATGCAAGCGTGATCCCTGGGTTGAGAAGAGCCCATGGGGAAGGAAATGGCAACTCACTCCAGTATTCTTGCCTGGAAAATTCCATGGACAGAGGAGCCTGGTGGGCTATAGTCCATGGGGTCGAAAGAGTCGGACACAACTTAGCAACTAAACCACCAACCCAAGGAGGGAAAGCTTCCTAGCAGAACTGACATTTAAGCCAAGATCTGAAGTTTGGCACGTCTGCTGAATGAAAGTGAGAAGACTATTCCAGCCCAAGAAAATAAAGATGGGCAAAAGTTCAAAGTGAGACTGTATCTGAATCTTTTAGGTGATTCAAAGTATAACTGGTACACAAGGTGTGGAGTGCAGGAGGGAGGTTCATGAGAATGGGAAACATCTGTAATAAAGAGATAATAAATAATAAATAAAGGGTCTTCAGGCCATGTTAAGAAGTTTAGAGTCTGTCCTGAGAATAAAGAGGAGCACCTGAAGGATTTCTCAGCTTGAGCAGTAAAATCAGATATGATGCGTGAAAAGTTCATTCTCTCTGTTGTGAGAACAGATGGCAGGTGGGTGTGCCTGGAGGCAAGGAGAACAATTGCCAAGCCTGAGGGAAGTGTGTAAATAGAGATAAATAGGCAAATTTCAGCTATGTTGAGATAATAAAATTACCACGATTTGATGGCACCTGAATGCAGACAGGGAGGAAGGAAAATGGGTCAGTAATGACACCCAGGTCTCTGGTCAGATGAGCTGTGTAGACAGCAGTGATAATGACTTCAATGTTGTTGTTGTTGTGTCACTTTCAGTATTAGATGTGGTTTTTTTTTTTTACCAAATCCAAAGCTCCTTCTCCAGCAGCTATTCGTTTGAAGCATTGGGAAAATATGTTAAAAATACTTTTCTGACTCGTGAAACCTCAGGATGGATTATCATAAAGTCCACACGAATACCATAAGAGTTAAGCAAACAAACATGTCCAGCCTACTCCCCCAGATATATGTACTGGATTGAAAAGTGAAAAAGTGAAAGTGTTAGTGGTTCAGTCATGTCCAACTTTGCAAACCCATGGACTTTAGCCCGCCAGGCTCCTCTGTCCATGGAATTCTCCAGGCAAGAATACAAGATTGGATTGCCATGCCCTTCTCCAAAGTATCTTCTCGACCCATGGATTGAACTAGGGTCTCCTGCACTGTGGGCAGATTCTTTACTGTCTGAGCCACCAGGAAAACCCATATTGGATTAACACTTATATAATAAAGTTTTTTCAAAAACCACTTCTCCCATTGCAAACATATCTTCAGTTTTCCATGGCACCAAGCGCAAGCATTTGCAAACAGTCAGCTGAACTAGATGAAACTGACATTTCTGCAGGTGGCATCACCAATTCAATGGACATGAACTTGGGCAAACTCCGGGAGATGGTGAGGGACAGGGAGGCCTGGTGGGCTACAGTCCATGGGGTAGCACAGAGTCAAATACAACTTGGTGATTGACCAACAAGCAGTTAAGTATTGGAGATTTTCTATGATTCAACCCCACCCTAGAATATCAATACCTCATAGTTTTCAGAGTTCACAATCCAGGGCTTACCAATCTCATTCAATTAACTACTTTCTGCTTACAGACAAATGGAATGGGAAAACCTGACCAGTGTCTCAGAATTTTTCCTTCTGGGACTCTCCCAACAGCCAGAGCAGCAGTGGCCCCTCTTTGGTCTATTCCTGTCCATGTACTTGGTCACAGTGATGGGCAACCTCCTCATCATTCTGGCCATCACTGCTGATGCTCAACTCCACACTCCCATGTTCTTCTTCCTGGCCAACCTCTCCCTCACTGATACCTGCTTCATTTCTACCACAATCCCCAAGATGGTGGCAAATCTATGGGCCCAAAATCAGGTATCTCCTACACAGAGTGTCTATCACAACTGTATTTTTTCTTGATGTTTGGGATGGTGGAGGCATTCCTCTTGGCTGTCATGGCCTATGACCGCTACATGGCCATATGCTACCCACTCCACTACATCATGGTCATGAGCCCTGGCCTCTGTGTCCTCCTAGTGTCTGCATCCTGGGTCATGAACGCCCTCCACTCCCTCCTACACACACTCTTGATGAGCAGACTGTCCTTCTGTGCAGACCAAGAGATTGCACACTTCTTCTGTGACATCAACCCCCTTCTGAGTCTGTCCTGCACAGACCCCTTCATCAATGAACTGGTGATCTTCACTGCAGGGGGTCTTATGGGCCTGGTTTGTGTGCTTTGCCTGGTTATCTCTTATGCATACATCTTCTCGACAATGCTGAAGATCCCCTCAGCTCAGGGGAAGCTGAAAGTCTTTTCCACCTGCAGCTCTCACCTCTCTGTGGTCTGTCTACACTTTGGGAGTTCCTTTTGTGTTTACTTCAGCCCCCTCTCCAACCACTTGGCACAGAAGGGCGCAGTGATGTATACAGTGGTAACCCCGATGCTAAACCCCTTTATCTATAGTTGGAGGAACAGAGACATCAAGTCTTCCCTGAAAAAGCTAATGTGGGCTAGGAAAATTCATTCCCCTTAGTGGGAATGACTTCACATCTAATATGGGGGTCCCTACCCAATTACATTCACCACAATTAAGCAGGGAAGAATGAGAAAGGGAGAAAAAGTTGGGAATCTCACTTCTAAGACCTGTGATCTGAACTTGAAATATTCATGCCTAAGCTACAGGACACATTAGAACAAACTCATTATCAGGGCAATATCATCAGCTTAAGTTCTTACAATCATAATGTTCTAGAATTATAGCCATCCAGTTGTATAATATTGTAAAGGATGTGCTTGAATCTTTTGAAACCACATGAGATAGTGCATGCCAAAATAAGGGAATATTTGGTTGTGCTACTGCATGTAGCCAAGAATAACTCCAGGAAAAAATAACTTTTTCCTGCCATCACTGGGACCTTGGTGACTTAGACCCCTACCAGTAGCATTTTAACTCTGAGACTCTCCATGTCTGTGACACCCCTAGGCTGAAAGAACAGACACTGGGACTGGGAAGGGTTTGATCAGATGGAATCTTCAGCTAAACCTACTATGATATTTTACCAGGCATCCAAATCCCCATCCCTCCTAACACCTTAAATTTCACTTGACAATTTCATTTTTATCTTTGGGAAAAATTTTGCAAGTCAATTTCACCCTGCATCACTTGGCATAATGTCTGGCACCATTAAGATGTGTTAAATCCCTCTGGCATGGTTGCAATCATAATGTTAGGGATCAGGAAAGAATGATTTTATTACTATTTCAAATCTCTCACCTGAATGATTGAAACTCCTCCTAGATATTCTCTAGTCCCCAGTTTCGCCTCATTCCATCCATTCTGTACACTACAGTCAGATGAATCTTCATAGAATATGATTATGTCATCATAACCCTATTAGAAAACACAAATGGTTTTATGCTGCCTGCAGAATAAAGTTCAAATGATTTACCCAAGCATTAGGTCTACCATCACCAGTTCATAACTTATACGACCCACAGAGAGCCCACACTGTTCTGTATTTCTCCCAAGATCAACTCAAGTCAATAATCTGCATTATGCTGATTATTATTGATGGTTACCAAAAAGCTAAGTCAGTAAACATTGGAGCAAACAGACATACAACAAGGTGCCCCAAGACCAATTAGGCTCTATAGGAAAATGAAAAGTTACTACAGGGTGATATTTTTCATTCTCTTTAGGTACCTGGTTTAAGCTTTGATAACATAGATTGTGATTTCTGTTGATAATATCTTTTCCAGTGGAAATCAGTTGTTGATAGCTTGTGTGTGCATGCTAAATCACTTCAGTCATGTCTGACTCCTTGAGACCCTATGGACTGTAGCCCGCCTGGCTCCTCTGTCCATGGGATTCTCCAGGCAAGAATACTGAAGTGGGTAGCCATTCCCTTCTCCAGGGAATCTTCCTGACCCACGGATTGAACCTGTGTCCCTTACTTCTCCTGCACTGGCAGGCAGGTTCTGTACCACTAGCACCACCTGGGAAGCCCCCGTTGACAGCTCACCTACTCCCTATTCACCTGAGAGTAAGTTCACACACTATCTTCTGTCAATAAAATATAGTATAGCAAAGTGGTAACAGCACTAGCAAGTTCAAATCTTGGTTTTGCCACCTGTAAGCTGTGTGATCCTTGGAAATTCTTTAACCTTTCAGAGCAAGTATAACTTACCTCATTGTGTTGTCAGAAAGTTTGAATGTGGTTCTGTCTGTAAGGCATAGTTTGTAATGAATTAGATATAAATGTAAGCATGTACTTCCTAAAATATATAAGAAAATAGAATATAGTATATTTTCAATAAATGTTAGCTATTGCAGTAATAGTTCTTGTTAAAATGAAAGGTGAGCAAGCATCAGATTATGTGAATTCACTCTCAAGCACTGCTGCTAAGGATTGCCTATGGCCTGCACTGAGAACCTAGAAGGCATCCTGTCTTAAATCATTCTTTTGGAGAACATTCTGGGATTTAATGCAGGATTTCTCACTTACTGGGATTCACATGCAGGGAAGATTTCTGTCTACCTTCGAAATCATGTTTGTCCTGGTGGTTCAGAGGGTTAAGAATTTGCCTGCAATGCAGGAGACCTAGGTTCAGTCCCTGGGTCGGGAAGATCCCCTGGAGAAGGGAATGGCTACCCACTCAGGGTGCTTAAATTTAAGGTGAAATTTTACCTACTTAAATACACAGGTTTGCAACATCCCATATTCCCTCCCAATTCATTGACAGTTGTGCGTCTTTCACTGTTTAACATTCACCAGTATTTTTAATTCTACCTTTTAACTTAAACTGTGAAGAAGTTAACCTAGGCCAAGATGGCGGAGGAATAGGACGGAGAGACCACTTTCTCTCCTACAAATTCATCGAAAGAACATTTGAATGCTGAGCAAATTTCACAAAAGAACTTCTGATCGCTAGCAGAGGACATCAGGCGCCCAGAAAAGCAGCCCATTGTCTCCGAAGGGAGGTAGGACAAAATATAAACGATAATAAGGGA